AGTGTGTTTCTCAGTGGCATTTCGTATACTCACAATGTGCTATTGTGATAAAAGTTTGGAACCCCTGTCTAATTCCAAAACGTTTTCATGACCCCAAAAGAAAACCAACCCAGTAGCCTTTAAGCCTTACTCCCAACACCCCTGCCCCCAGCCGCTGGCAAGCGCCAGTCTGCTCTGTCTCAGGGGCTGGCTTATTGTGGACATTTCATAGAAATGGAATCGCCCAGGAGGTGGCCTTTTGCATCTGGCTGCTTTTGCCCAGTGTAACATGTGTGAAGCTGGACCACGTCCCAGCGTGGGTGAGCGTTGCGTCTCATGGGACAGCTGAGCATTCCATCATATGGATGCCTGACCCTGATTTAATTTTTAGTTTTTTTTTTTTTATGTTTTCAAGATTTATTGCATTTATGCATACAGAACTAGAGTACAGGCTGAGGTGCAGGGGCGGTGAGAGGATTCACCAGAGACAGAGTGGGGAGCAGAGCAGGCAGATCTATGAAGTACACTGCTGAGGGAGCAGCGGGGAGACTGGAGAGGTCTGCTGCGCCCTGTGGGTCAGCTCTGGGGCAGGGATCCAACTCATGCTGCAGTGGCTGTGGCCAGCTTCACAGAGCTGCGCTTTAACCTGTTGCGCCACCAGGGAGGGCTTGATTTAATTTTTAAGTTACCCAAAGATGATTACTCAGGCTGCTATCTTGATAATAATAATAATCATAACAGGGCAGGAGTAGAAACAACTGTCCATCTGGAAGGTTGATGGTGACCACAGAAGGGAGAAGATGCAGGGGTGTCAGTCGTACCCCAGGAGGGAATCCAGGGCCCCTAAGTGTGGCCTGAGCAGCCAGGTGAACTGGATTCCTCCCTGGGTGGGACATGCAGGGAGCAGCTTGGTCTCTGGCCAAGGCTTGTCTGAGATTGGAAATTCAAGTGCAGACACCCGATTTCATTGTGTGGCCCTTATGTGAATTTTTTAGCTCACCCCAGTTTGTGGATATTGGGGTGGTTTCAGCTGTTGCTAGTGCAGACATTGTCACCGTCACCTGTGCCCGGGTGTGTGGGTGTGTTCCTGAAGCATGAATTCCAAAAAGTACAAGTGTCAGGTCAAAGGGCATGAATTTTTAAGTCTCTACGACCAAATGGCTGTTCAAAGAGGTTCCACCAATTTTTATTTCCACCCAGAGTACATGCACGAGATGGTCAAAACTTCCCACTCTCCGGCCAACAGTGGGTATTCTCTGTCTTTAAAACAACAACATAATACAACACTTTGCAATCTGAAAGACCAAAAATAATACCATATTGTTTTAACCCAAACTGGTTGACAGATGGCAGGATATTCCTCACGTGGCTGTATTGTGACTTGACAAAGTGTTTTTTCATATTTAGTTGTTTCTGGGTATTTTTATTTGCTCATGTTCTTTTTTTTTTTTTTAAAGATTTATTTATGCATACAAGAACTGGGGTACAGGCTAGAGGTGTGGGGGTGAGAGGATTCTCCAGAGACAGGGAAACAGAACAAGCTAATTGACTAAAACACTGCTGAGGGCAGCAGCAGGTGGGACAGGAGAAGTCTGCTGTGCGCTGTGGGTCAGCTCCCTGGCTGGGGATTGAACTCCTGCTGAAGTGGCTTTAGCTTCTTAGTGCTGTGCTTTAACCCTTAGCTTTTTTTTTTTTTTAAGAGTAGATTGCCTTCTAGAAAGACCACCGCTTTCTCTGAAGCTTCCTTCTCAGTGCTAAGTTGTGGTTGGCTTTGAGACATCAAGACAGCCCTCTGACTTTTTTTATAGATGGAGAATTCTTTTGATTTTCCCTGCTTTGATGGGCACACCAAATGTACTCAGGTCATAGATGAAGGCTCAGCCCAAGCCAGACTCTGTGTGAGCCCGAGAGGACCCACCCTGTGTTTTCCCAGGGCTGGGTTCTAGGACTGGAGTAGACACACATGGCAGTTGGCACAACCCCTCCTTGGCTTCTTGAGTTGGGGCCATTATGGCCTAGTCGAAGCCCCTAGAACTCCCTCTTTTTCCCAAGACAGTAACCCCAAACCAGTTCACATCCATCCTTTGGGGTCATTGCAGGGATGATGCCACCATTAGCGGTTAGAAAAAGCAGGGTAGTAAGCTCGTCCCCACCCAGCTGGCCTGTGCAGAAGGCAGATGGACCTCGGAGAGTGACTCGTGGTTATTGCAAATGTAATCAGGTGGGGTCTGCAATGGCCTTTGCTGGCCCAAAGGAAGTGGCCCTCCGGGAGTGAGTCAGCCTGGCCTTGGGTAGCCAGAGTAAATCCCTGGCCTGGCAGATGCTCTTTTCCCCCACCCCTCTTCCCGAGGGCCACCGGAAGCCAGGCGGGCCCATCTCCGGTCACCTCAGGGCAACCTGGACTCATGCAGGCTGCAGCCAACTTGATCTTGATGGTCGCCACAACGTCACACCAGCCCCACAGGAAGTGGCTTGTAGTAAGGGGGGTGGGCAGTGAGCCTGCTGCCAGGCAGGGACCAGCCTGGAGATGGCACCAGCTACTTGAAAGTGAGAGTTGGACAGATGGAATTGTTAACCAGACATAGAGTTGTCAAGTAGCTAACCCAGAGAAGAAGAAAGTGCCGGGGTCCTGGAGGCAGCCCCTGCAGGAAGCAGCCACACCCTGGGGCTGAGGGCCCAGGGACCCAACGGAGCGGAAGGTTGGGGGTACTGCCTGGCTGGTCCTCATGATGTTTGGTGGTTTTTTTCACTTGGGGCAGCAATTTGTGCCCAGATGTAAGGTGAATGTGCTCCTTCGTTCCGTTGACCAAACAGCCCAAGAGGCTTTCCATTTTGAGGGCAGCCAGAGTGGCAAGGCTCACAGCATGTCCTGTCCACACGCAAGGTGGTGGGGAGCTCACGGCACTGGCCCCAGTGATGAGGCAGGTCAGGCTGCGTGTGCAGCACGCTGGCGGCAGCTAGGGAGGCTGGCTCGGAGCAAACTTGCAGGTGTGGGAGCGAAGCAGTCACTGTCCTGAGAAACTGCCCCTTACCGGGTCCTCGTAGAGGGAGAGTGTGGCCACGCGGCCAGAGGGCTCCTGGGACCCACGTGTTGTCGTTTCTGCATGGGTCCACATCCTGCGAGGAGGCAGCCACCCCCGGTGGTTGAGTGAGGGAATTGTTTACTGGGAATTAAGGTGTTCACTAGCTAACCAAGTGGGTAAAAGTGGAACCTCAAGGCAGGGATCAGCAAGCTTGTTCTGGCAGTATGTTTGGCTTTGAGGGTGTACAGTCAGGGCTCCTCAACTCTTCTGTTGTCTGGAAAGTGGTCAGGTGACACCTGGAGGGTGTGCATGCCAGCGGCCGAGACACCCGCCTCCCCATCGGTCACCAGGCAGCTCCTAGACACGTGGGCCGGGCCGCCGTCCTGCAAAACCCGATAACAAAATCAGATGGGCTGGACTGACCCGAGGGTCCTTGTTTGCCCTCTGATATCAGGGAGCTGCAAGGCAGGTGGCTTTGTCCCTAGTTATGAAGGAACAGAGAGAACAGTTGGAAACTTCGAGGAAGAGCTCAGACCCTGAAGGGGGCGCTCACTGTTTGGGGATCTGTGCCCAAGGGGCTGGGTGAGGCTGGCTTTGCAGGTTATTAGGAAGAAGCTGCACACTGGATCCACTGCTCCAAAAACAGACCCGCAGCTGCTAGCCCGCCACCTGCCGCCTTCCTCTAGCGCCCCCTATGGGCAGAGCCTGGCAGGGCGCCCATGGCCAGCGCAGCTTCCAAGGTTCTTTGCACAGAGCTGATGCAGAGGGTGGCTGTGAGCTCAGGGCAGTCGTGAGTGCTTCGATTGGCTTTCAGGCATTTAGAAAGCCCCCCTATTGTCTCTCATCATTTAGATTCTTGCTGATACTCTTCCAGAGATTCAGCAGCCTTCAGGGGCCCCTGGGGTGGAGGGGTGGGGGCAGTCTCAGAAATAGTCATCTGCTGGGAAAGAGGGAGAAGGGAGGATCTGGCTGTCCTCCCTTCTGAATGAAATCCCCTCCACCAATCTGACCACCTCTCTCCATCCCCACTGCCACAGCATCTCTGGGGGTGGATCGTCAGCTGCCTTGACCCTGTGATCTGTGCTCACAGTGGCCAGGTCACTTCACCCCATTAATCGCACCCACTAACACTCATCTCTTTATAACCCAGCCCTGCAAGGCCCCCACACTTTGCTTTGCCCGCCCCTCCCCACTCCAGCCACCTCGGGCGCCGTTGCTTCCCACCTCGGGGACCCCCCATTGCTCCCTTAGCCTGGAACCCTCTCCCCAGGTCTTCTCACGCTGGTCCCGGCTTCTCTTTACATTTGTTCTCGAGACACTCGAGAACAGTGGGGCGCGTGGGGCGGTCCCCATTGCAATGCCCTGCTTTATTCTTGCCCTGGTGGAGAATAAATAATGAGTGCTGCGTCCCCAAAGCTGGAGTTGCGTTTGGGCTGTGGGGTGGATCAGAAGATATTTGGTGAGTGGGTCAGTGAACAAACGGGATGACTGCAGTGTGGGGATACAGCGCAGACCGTCTTAGACCGGCCTAGGAACCACCGAGCTATTATTTCTCACATTTCTGGAGGCCGGGAGGGCCAACATCAAATCCAAGCCTCTCTGAGACTCAGTTTCACCATCTGTAAAAGGAGGCTAGTGGCCCTCAGGGAGCGGCGGGGAGGAGTTACAGGGTCTGTATAAAGTGCCATCTGCGGGCAGGGGTGTGTGTAGGTCAACAGGGCCTCCACGATGAGCTTGGCGGGCAACAGGTCGGAAAGAGCGGGCTGGCCGAGGAGAAGAGGCCGCAGGAGCCTCTCAGCAGCGACGTGCTGATGAGGGTCCAGTTTCGGGCCCAGGACGACCTCTGAAACCAGTGCAGCTCCGGGTCCCGCTGTCCCCTCGAGGCTCAGCCTGGGACGCCTCCGTGCCCTCGGCGCGCTGCTCTCTGACTGCTCGCCTGTCTCCCCGCTCCTCCCCCTCCCACCCCCTCCTCCCCCTGCCCCGCTTCCCCTCCAGCAGAAGGCAGACCTGGCTGTGGCCGCTTTCACCATCACGGCTGAGCGGGAGAAGGTCATCGACTTCTCGAAACCCTTCATGACGCTGGGGATCAGCATTCTGTACCGGGTGCACATGGTATGGTTTGCCCGGAGGGTGGGGGGCTGGCAGCGGGCAGGAGGGGCTGGGGGCCGAGACCGGGGCTGGGCCAGGGCTCCTGGACCCCTGGCAGGGCAAGGCTGGGGGCTGGCGCAGGGGGCGGTGACCATCCTTCCGCTGTCCCTCAGGGGCGGAAGCCCGGCTACTTCTCCTTCCTGGACCCCTTCTCCCCTGCTGTGTGGCTCTTCATGCTTCTTGCCTACTTGGCTGTCAGCTGCGTCCTGTTCCTGGCCGCCAGGTGAGTCCGCTGCCTGGGGTGCACTCCAGGGCCCCCACTCCTCGGGCCCAGCACCCCCTCTCCCTTTCTGGCGCTGTCTCTGGGCCCATTTCACCCTGGGTCTCTGCTTCCTCCTGTCCACCCCTTCCCGTTTCCGTGGCTCCCCTGTGCCTCCACTCTCTCTGGGTGTCTCTCAGCCTTCCTCCCTCTTCTCTGCTCGAGTCTCTCTATTCTTAGCCCCCTGGTTTCCCGCCCTGTCTTCTCTTCTCATCACGGGATCCGACTCCTTCCTCCTGCCCTCCCACCTCGGCCCTGCCCAACCCCACCGTGTCTCTCCGCAGGCTGAGCCCCTACGAGTGGTATAACCCACACCCCTGCCTGCGGGCGCGCCCTCACATCCTGGAGAACCAGTACACGCTGGGGAACAGCCTCTGGTTCCCCGTGGGTGGCTTCATGCAGCAGGGCTCGGAGATCATGCCCCGGGCGCTGTCCACACGCTGCGTCAGCGGAGTCTGGTGAGAGGTGTTGTTGGCTGGCTGGGAGGTGGCACCCCCTGTGGCGGGAGGGGTGAGCCCCGCCCCTCGCTCACTGGCTGTGCAGGCCCCTTTCCCTCTGCACAGCTCAGTCTTCTCACTGGACAGCGGGGTAAACGTGCCACGTCGCTGGCGGGAAGGGCTGGGTGAGGCCTTTGTGGGGTAGGGCTGGGGGCGATGAGCAGACCCCGGCTCCTGTTAGTGGGGGCATCACAGCGGCCGTGAGCCTTCGCTGTGCGGGGCCAGAGTTGAGGCTCCGACGGGGGCACCTGTTCCCCCAAAGTCATGCCAGGACGCGGAAATTGGACAGGGTTTAGTTTGCCCTGAGACAAACCCCGAGAAGACACATGTCTGGGAGCAGACACTGGCAGCTCATGGCGTCTGTTTGGCCCACGGCTTAAGGTTTTTTTGGAATTAGCTGGCGACATTTAAATATTGGGTGAATTCATCACACGTCCAGATTTCTCACTCTTCTTGAAAATTCAGATCTGGAGATGCTTGGCCGGCCTCTCCGCCGGCGTCCCTGTCTGGGCCCTTGCCCTCGGCCTCCGTTTCCACCTTCAGTCCTTCTGGCCTGACTCCAGAGGCGTCTCACTTGCTGTCCTATCTCTTCAACGGCAGCTGGGCCTGCCGGCAGCTCAGATAGCTCTTTGGAACCGCAGAAAGCCCAGGAGAGTGCTCAGGGCAGCGACGCTCTCCTTGTGGCAAAGGTCAGATGAGACCCAGAGAGGAGCCATTTGCTAGGCAGCCTGCATTCAGCTAGATGCTGGCAGGCTACGCGGCACTGCCCCCAGCCCCGCCGGCTACGCCCTGCTCCTCGCTCAGGTCCCTGGGGAGCCCTCTGGGCATCTCAGGCATCAGGCCTTCTTTTAGGGTGCTCCCTATGCCCCACCCCTCCTCCCTGGTCGGACAGAGTTCAAGCGTCTGTGATCCTTCAGCAGATGCTGCTCTGGCCCCTCCGTGGGCCAGGCGCTTCAGTGGAGATTCAGCTCTCCAGAGGCAAGGCCCTGAGAACGCCGATGAACACAGGACCGTCCTACTTAATGCCGAGAATTTGCCCGAAAGATCATGTGAGATTCAAAGCTTGCTCCCAGCGAGACTCACCTCAACGGGGGCAGGCTTTTTCTTTCTCCCAGTGAAGCAGGACTGACTACCCGTCATCAGCAATTCGCTTGGTCCACGGGCTTTGAAACTTTGAAGGGGGTGGGGGAGGTCTTGATTTTTTAACTTTTGGGATTGCCGTCATTTCATGACCACCGTAGCTTCCTATGGACGCTGTGTCGGATAGCACAAACTTAGTGGCTTACAGCCCCAAGATTTCTTGCTTATAGTTCAGACATCTGACTGGAGTTTTGGGGAACCCCAGGCATGGTCACAGCTGGTTCTTCTGAGGCTCAAGGGGAGACCCATGTCCTTGGCCCTGCACCCCTCACTCGCAAACTCTCTGGCTCTGAAGTCCTCCTTCCTAAGGACCCTTGTGATAGCGTGGGGCCCACCAGACACACTCCCACCTCAAGACCCTTAGCTTAGTCACATCTGCGAAGCCCCTTTAGCCTGGAAGCAAATAGACCCAAGTTCCAGGGGTCTGGCTTTAGGCATCTTTGGTGAGGAGGCTTTTCTTCTGCCTACTCCACCCCCCCAAAATTATCAACATTTTCAGTGTGAGCATGTTAGCGGATGCATGTGGTCTGGACTACTGGGGGACTGTGACAGAGAACAGGAGAGAAGGGAAGGCGCTCTGACGCCTCCCTGTCGGCGCTGAAAGACCGAACCTGACTGTCCACGCCGAGGGGAAGGAGGCGCATTCTGGGCCGGGAGGGGCCGCCGATGTGAGGAGGTCAAAGAGACCTGTGTCTTTGCCAAAACTGGCTAAGCCCCAGTCAGGCAGGGGCCTCCTCTCTGCAGGAGCCCCCCCATGTCCCTCCTCACCAGAGCCTTTTACCCCAGGCTCAGTCTCACTTCCCCCCAAGCCCTCCCCCATGTTTGTCAGTCTCTGACTGGTCATGGTGGCTGGGAGCCAGGTCAGGGGTGGTGGGTCCTCCACTCCGGGCATTTGGCTGTCTCCTGAAGGTTGTGACGGGCCAGAGCCTGCTCCTGTGGCCCTCACGTCCAGCGTCCTCATGGGCCACAGCCTCCTGCCACCCAGCAAAGGACTTGTGGGTCTGGAAGTCTCCCCCTCGTCGCCCCCTGAAGTGAGGCCCCCACCTCCCTCTGCTGTTCTCTGAGCCTGTCCCTTCCCGTCAGCTCTCTGCCAGCAAGCCCCAAAGCTTCAGCTCTGCCCCACAGCTTGACACCCCTCCCCCGCACCCCCCCCACCGCCTCAGGGTCACATGCATGGTTGGGTCCAGGGCGCTCCTTGTCACCCCCTTCCGGCAGCGTCTAGCTCCTGTGCCGCTGTGTCCTGGCTTCCCTCAGCCTTCCCAGCTCCCGGCCTCTTGTGGCCTCCCGGTCCTCCCCATGTCACCCCAGTGAGCTCTCCATGCTGCAGGCATTGAGGCCCTTCGGACGAATATTTTGTAACATCTCCTCTTTCCCCCGATGAAATTCCAGAGCAATTTAAAATAAATTGATGAAGTGCCCTAACTGCAATACACAGGAGAGAGGGTGGTGACTTACGATATCATGATGCCCGATGCTTGGGCCAGGACGAAGCCGGAAGACACTGAGGAGAGTGCGGATGTCCGAGCCCACTTCTGGGGGCCTTTTAGAATCCGCGTAGTAGGGCCACTTAATAGCATTGTGCCGACACTGCAACTAGTTGGCAAATGAGCATTTTGTACCAATACAAATCACTGTGGACTTGAGGGTTTATGAGTACAGCTGCTCCAAGGGTCTGGCCTGGGTGACTCAGAACGCCGGGAGCTGAGCGTTGCTGTCAGAGATGTGAGTTCCCAAAACGGTGAAAGGCTCTTGGCAATAGTTCAAACGGAACAGTTGTTCCTACATCTAAACAATAGGTGTATTTCTAGAAATTTCCATTTCTATTACAATCATGCAAAAAGCACTTTGGAGAAAGTACCAAGGAGTGAAGCTCTGGTGATAGTGTGTTGGATTTTCCCTGACAGACTGGGCTGCCCTGTCTGGGGATGCTGGAAGCTCCCCTCCCCCACCCAAAAAAGTACCTTCTCCAGAAACCTGGGGTGTGCTAGGTCCTGGGGTTCTCTAGCTTTTCTGACACTGATGCTTCCCAAATCCCCAGCTCCCACTCTCTCGAGGTGTGCCCAACGGGCATCCCCCAATAGAACTCATGTCTGTCCTCCCAAATAAGACCCCCTCTGTCCATGAATGGCCTTGTCTCCCCCACTGTCACCACCACCTCAGCGATGGGGCGGCATCCGAATGCCAGGGCCTGAGTGCCCTTGTCCTGAGTGAACGACAGTGTGAACCCACGGGGAGGGTTGGAGAGGCTTGGTTTCCGGGGACGCTGTGTCAGGCCCCGGCTTTTTGGGTGTCAGGCCCCGGTTTTCTTTTCAGGAGGCGGCATTATTCATCCCTGTCCTCCGTTCCACCCCCACCCCGTGCCTGACACAGCACCGTGCCCGGCAGACAGCTGCTGTGTTCATTCTTGTCTACTGGAAGAGGGGGTGAGCTGGGAGGCATCTCTGCAGAGTCCTGTCTTCCGGCCCCGCAGATGTATGGAAACCATCTGCAGGGAGCCCAGAGGCTCTCATCTGCCAGGACGGAGGGCCAGGGTGAGACCAGTCTCTGCTCTCAGCCAGACCAAGGGCTTCCTCTTCTCCCAGTCGGTCCCCAGCACCAGGATGACAGCACACCCTTGCGGGACATTTGTCCTGGGCCGGATGTAGCTCCCTCTTACAGTGGCCCACACAGTACCCACCTCACAGGTACAAGCCCCAGATCACATGGCAGTGGCGAGGCCAGGATTTGGGGATTTTCCAGAGATCTTTCTGTTATTGATTTCTAGCTCCGTCGTGGCCAGAGAACATCCTCTGTAGGATCTTTATCCTTTTAGATTTCTTGAGACTTGTTCTGTGGCTGAGCATACGAGCTCCCGGGGTGTGTGCCTCTGTCTTCTGCTGGTGTGGTGATGGTGATGGGTGCAGCATTCTGTAAGTTGGGACCCGTAGGTTGATGGTGTTATTCGGATCTCCTGCATCCTTACTGACTTTCTGTCTACTCGGCGTATCAGCTACTGAGAGAAAAGTGTTCAAATCTCCACCTGTAATTGTGGAGAAATTACATCCATTTCTCTTTCCAGTTCTATCAATTTTTGCTTCATGAATCTTGAAGCTTTATAATTAGGGGCACAATGTTTAGGATTGTCATGTCCTCTTGACAAAGGGGCCCCTTCGTCATTTATCATGTCCCTCTGTGTCTCTGGTAATGTTCTTTGTCCCAAGGTTACTTCCAGTTTGTCTGGCCACTCCAGCTTTCCTGTGTGTAGTGTCTCTGTAGTACAGGATAATGCCAGGGTTAGGATGCCAACTACCTGTGCAGTGGAAAATCCGTGTACAAGTCTGACTCCCCCTAAATTTCACTACTGATGGTCTGCTGTGCACCAGAAAGCATTACTGATAGCAAACTGTCGAGGAACACATACCTTGTATGTTTTATGCATGATATATTATATTCTTTTTTTTTTTTTTAAGATTTATTTATTTATGCATAGGCCAGAAGTGTAGGGGCGGTGAGACGCTTCACCAGAGACAGAGCGGGGAGCAGAACAGGCAGATTGACAAAGTACACTACTGAGGGGAGCAGCGGACGGGTCAGGAGAGGTCTGCCGCGCCATGTGGGTCAGCTCCAGGGCTGGAGATCGAACTTGCACTGAAGCGGCTGTGGTTAGCTGGCAGTGCTGTGCTTCAACCCTCTGCACCACTAGGGAGGGCCATATAGTTTATTCCTACAGTAAAGCAAGCTGGAGACAGGAAGGTGCTATTACGAAAGTCATACGGAAGAGAAGATACATTTATAGTGCCAAACTGTATTTGTGGACCCTGTAAGTGGGTGGCATCTGTTTCCGAGGAAACCCGGGCGTGAGTGGATCTGTGCAGTTCAAACCCGCGTTGTTCAAGGGTAGCTACATGTCTTTCCCTTTCACGCTACCTACATCTTTATATATATATTCCCAAAACGGTGAAAGGCTCTTGGCAATAGTTCAAACGGAACAGTTGTTCCTACATCTAAACAATAGGTGTATTTCTAGAAATTTCCATTTCTATTACAATCATGCAAAAAGCACTTTGGAGAAAGTACCAAGGAGTGAAGCTCTGGTGATAGTGTGTTGGATTTTCCCTGACAGAC